GCTCCTGAGGCCTGAATATGGGAGAAGTATCAGGCGGGCGCTCCATCCCTGTGGGGCACGCACTTCATGTTCGAACCCGAGCGGGTCATCCGAGCGAGCTTTTTGGGCTCCTCAGTTCCTGCGGCCTGAACAAGGGGGAAGTATCAAGCGGGAACTTTGTCTGTGGGCGGTGCGGGTAGTCCCGTCTGAGGACCGTCTCTTGTCGTCACTTGGAGGATCGAAGGGGAACTCGCTCCTGCGGCCTGAATATTCTCTTTCGACTTGCCCACGTCCAATTGCTGGCCAACCTTGTCGTCGTCGGCGGGAGAGGGAACTTGAAAAGGTTCACTCTCCCGCGTTCGTTTGGGCTGGGGAGGGAACTTGAAAAGGTTCACTCTCTAGCTGCGGGAGAGGGAACTTGAAAAGGTTCACTTTCCCGTTCGTGGCAGGATTGGGCTGGAGAGGGAACTTGAAAAGGTTCGACGTCTCTAGCTGCGGGAGAGGGAACTTGCAAAGGTTCCCTGCCCCCCCTTGTCGTCGGAGTGAAGGGGGAACTTGAAAAGGTTCACCCTTCATTCGCGGGAAAGGGAACTTGAAAAGGTTCACTTTCCCTTGGAGAGGGAACTTGCAAAGGTTCACTCTCCAGCAGCGGGAAAGGGAACTTGCAAAGGTTCACTTCCCCGCGCGTTCCAACTGGAGAGGGAACTTGAAAAGGTTCCCTCTCCAGCAGCGGGAAAGGGAACTTGCAAAGGTTCACTTTCCCGCGCGTTCCAACTGGAAAGGGAATTTGAAAAGGTCCCCTATCCAGTTTTTTTTCTGACCCCCCCTTTTCCTAACACCGATGTTTCAATGGACTAAGGGGTCACTAACGCAATTTTTTTCTCGGGCGTCGGGGGAGGAATCGCGTTGGCCGGAAACGGAGCTGAGCCTGGCGCGGGCGCTCGATGGAAAACCCTCACGAAACGCTTTGAAATCGATGATTGCGGATGACTCCAGGGCTGAAGCGGAGCAGCTCGCGGCAGAGCTGGGCTTCGTGCTGCCGCCCGCCTGAGCGCCGCGGCGCGCGCGAGGAGGCCCGCGGGGTTGCCCCAACGGCCTGGCCCGCGGGGTTGTCCCGACGGCCTGCCCTCGCGCTCCGGCGGCCCGCGGGAGTGCCCCGCAGGCATGGCTGGCCCGAAGGGTTGACCCGACGGCTTCGCGATCTGGCCGTCGGCAAACGCGCGCGTTCTGACCGAGGCGGCGACGGCGCCGAGGAAAATCGACTTGCTTCCCCCGACCGGGGGGAAAGGGACGTGCACGTGGAAAAGAGGCAGGAGGAGGATGGAAAAGAGGCGGAGGAGGATGAGGATGGGGAGGGCGGGATGATGGAGAAGGAGGAGGAGGAGGAGGAGGAGAAGGAGGGGGGGGGAAATAGAAGAAGAGGAAAAGATGGCAGAGGAGAGGGCGATACGAGGGTGTTTGCCATGGCCGGGAGGAAAGGGATAAGGGAAAGCTAAACAGATTATCATGTGGGGTCCTTCCGTCGGAGTAATTCAGTTCTGATTTGGACAATGGGCGAATTTCGGCGTTTGGGGGAAACGATCCTGAATGACCGCGGAGCTCTCTGATTAAGTTTTCGGCGACCACGGCCAGCGACCCCAGTCGTTTGGTGGCGACTGTTGATATCTTGCGCATAGGGTGGCAATACTCCAGGACATGCCCATGGGCAATTCGAACAAAACACGATGCCCCATGAAAACGACTTCGCAGGACCTGATATAAGTATACGGGGTTCTTCGGCAGCACAAGTGTTGACATGTATACACATACATATATACATATAACGGCGCACCGGGTCCGGGGGCCCGGGGCCGGGACCCCGACCACAAATGTGGGCTCCGGGGGGCCCGGAGGCTCGTCGGACCGCCGGACGCCGTCCAAGATCGTTCGTAGGCGGCTTCGGAACGCGCTCCGATGGCTCCAGATGCCTTCCAAGACGCCTGTCATGACACCAAGAAGGCCCCAGAAGCCTCCAAGACGCTCCGAGAGGCAGCCCAAGAGAGGCCCAAGAAGCAAAAATCGTGCCATTCCTATAGGAAAACGTATATTTTTCGCATGTTCGCCTCTTGGGCTTTCACCGCGTCCAAGACGGCCCAAGAGGCGCCCAAGACGGTCTACGAGGCCTCCGGGAGCGCTCCAAGGCTGCGCACGAGTGGCCCAGGACGGCCCCAAGACGGCCGAAGAGAGCCCCAAGACGAGTTCGAGAGGGGTCCCAGACGGAGAAAGCCAACCTCGAATTCCGAGCTTCCGGCCCAAGAGGCTCCAGGAGGCGCCAAAATGCCGCCAAGAGGCGCCAAAAGGCTCCCAAAAGCACCCCAAGACGTTCCGAGAGGCACCCCAAGAGAGGTCCAAGAAACAAAAATCGTGCCATTCCTATGGGAAAACGTATATTTTTCGCATGTTCGCATCTTGGGCTTTCACCGCGTCCAAGACGGCCCAAGAGGCCTCCAAGACGGCCTAGGAGGCCTCCGGGAGCGCTCCAAGGCTGCGCACGAGTGGCTCAGGACGGCCCCAAGACGACTTCGAGAGGGGTCCCAGAAGGAGAAAGCCACTCTCGAATTCCGAGCTTCCGGCCCAACATATCCCAGGAGGCGCCAAAACGCCGCCCAGAGGCGCCAAAAGGCTTCCAAAATCAGCCCAAGACGTTCCGAGAGGCACCCCAAGAGAGGTTCAAGAAACAAAAATCGTGCCATTCCTACGGGAAAACGTCTATTTTTCGTATGTTCGCATCTTGGGCTTTCACCGCGTCCAAGACGGCCCAAGAGGCCTCCAAGACCGCCCCAAGACGGCCCAAGAAGTTTCCAAGAGGGCCCCAGGACAGCCCAAGAGGGCCCCAAGACGGCCCAAGAGGCGCCCAAGATGGCCCAAGAGGGCCCCAAGACGGGCCCAAGAGGGGGCCCAGAGGGGGACCACGAACCGCAAGCTCGAGCCTTCCGCCCCAAGAGGCCGCCAGGAGGCCCCAAGGAGGCCCCTCAAGAGGCCCCTCAAGAGGCCCCAGGAGACCCCCAAGAAGCCCAAAGGAGGCCCCGAGAAGCCCCAAATCGGCCCTCAAAATGCTTCGAACCTGCTTCCAGGAGGCCCCCGACAGGTTCAGAGGCTCCCGAGAAGCTACGTCGAACTCCCAGCGAGCGGCCGGACGAGGCCCACCACAAAATCACAAGAGGGTTCCAGTATTTGTATTCTTCAGCGCTCTCTGGCCTTCTTCCCCCTGCTCCCTTCCCTGCGACTTTCGTTGACTCAAGCTCGCCTCCTAGCTAGAACCTAAGCGCGCGAAGTTCTAGTATATATATATATATATATAGAGAGAGAGAGAGAGAGAGAGAGAGAGAGAGAGAGAGAGAAAACAAAAAAAAAAAAAAAAAAAAAAAAAAAAAAAAAAAAAAAAAAAAAAAAAAAAAAAAAAAAAAAAAAAAAAAAAAAAAAAAAAAACATACGAACATACACATACATATGCTAGCACAGGTGAATGTCCCAACCGTCGCCGTACGAACCCAGCGTTGCGAGCGCGCCCGTCTAGAAGGGGCTTTCTGGGCCGTTTTGAAGCCGTCTTCGGGGTTTGTTGGGCCGTCTTTGGGCCCTCCTGGGCCTTCCACACTGTTCTTTCTGGCCGCCTTGCAAGTCTCTGAGGGTTGTCTTCGGCCAGTCAAGAAAGACGATTGGGTTGTCGTGGGGCCGTCTTCGGATGCCTGGAGCCCCTTCCGAGGATCCTCCAGGGGTGCCTTGGGCCCTTTTTCGGGCCGTGCTGCCAGCTCTCTTGGGACACTCTTGGGCCCCGTCTGGGCCATCCTAGGGTGGCATTCGGGCCGCTTGGACCATCTTGGAAACTCTGAAGACCGAGTCTACAAATATGCAAAAATCGTACAGACCTGAAGGAAATCCGAATTTGTTTTCTTGGGCTTCATCTTCAAGGCCCCATTGGGCCATTTGGGGGGCCTCCTGGTCTGTCTTGCGGCAATATTAGGCCTGTCGAAAACCGTTTTGTGCCTTCCCCCCCAGGGCGCCCAGACTCAGCCAGCCCAGCCGCAATGCAGGTTGTGCCGGAACATGTTTCTCTGCACGGTTGAATTGGTTGTACCAGTACAGTTTTGCACGGTGCCACCACGGCCCGACCTGTGCTTCTTGGCGTGGTGCGTCGCGCACTGTGGGCGTTTTTCGGGTGGCGTGGCGTTGCGCACCCCGACGGCCTCACGGGCAAGTGGCTTTGGCGATGAGGGACGCGGGATTGCCCATAAGACGATGGGGTAGGTACGACAGCGACGAAGGATGAGGTGGAGAAGGAGACGGGCAAGAGGCCGCCGGAGGAGACGAAGGAGGCAGGAATTGGAGGGAGGGATGATGGACGACGGAAGGGCGAGGAGGACGAGGAGGAAAAGGATCAGACGAAACGGGGTTCACACAGCTGAGGTTGTAATATGCCTTCCCGTTCCACGTCTCCTCCTGGATGTGCATGTAGAACGCGCAACAGGGACCGCGGAACGCTACAAAGATAGTGAGATCGATTGGGTATCGCCCTCCATCCACGCAGTTAGCAGATGCTTCGAGAAACCGTGCGCGGCGTCCAGAAAAGAGCACGGTTTTTGAACATAGACCATTTTCCACCCGTGTCTTTCGTGAAATGACGCATTTGAGGGCCAAGGAAATCGTTTGCGGAAGTCCCAGGCGAAACGCCCAGGCCACCCTACCAACACGTCGGATGGTGCGGCACGGAGGAGGCATGGGAACGGGAAGAGGACGAGGAAGAGAGGCCAGGAAAGACGAGGGGGAAGAAAGAGGGAGGGGGGGAGGGAGGAGCAAAAGGGACGGAGGTGGAGGACAAGTGAGGAGCAGGACGACGACGACAACGACTTCGACGACGACGACGACGACGACGACGACGACGACGACGACGACGACCTCGACGACGTCGACGACGACGACGACGACGACGTCGACGACGACGGCGACGACCTAGCGACTTCTCGGCCCCGTGGCGGACGGCGCAGGAGGCACTGCTGCTGCGGCGCACGTGCCCGGCGCGGCCCGCGAGGCATCTGGGACTGTCCGGGCAGGAACGCCGCCGCCGGGCCGCCCCCTGCCGCCAGGCGCAACTCTGCGCGGGGGCGCGGGTTCGGGGTGTCCCCCCCTCGGTGTGTCGGGCTGTTTGTTAGGGGAGGAGGGGGTCTGCCAGGGAGGGGAGCGACCTGGGGTGCTTCACGCTTCGATCGCTGGGAGTTGTTTGCGGCTCGGGGGAGACTTCCGCTCGGCTTCCTGGGGTTCCCCGCCTCTTGCTTCCAAAAGTCTTCATTGGCTCCAGCTGCTCCGCGGAAGGAGGAGGAGGAGAACAGCGACATAGCGACATAGGCACAGCAAGGGTGGAAGCCCGAGCCGCGTACCTTTGAACCGTCGCCACCACGGCCACCACTGTTCACACAGACGGGTGGGGGGATCAAAGAAATAGACGCGGCACTACATTCGCCACACCGCCTGCTACACACGACGTTAGCCCCACCACCTCTCCCGTCCTCTTCGTTATTATGAGGCCTCCCCCGCTTCTCCTCCCCTCCTCCCCTTGTCTGTTGTCGGTTGCCCCTGCCGGGGACTCCTCGGGCGGTGATCAAGGAGTCACCTGGCATCAGTTTGATCAATCCCCCAGGGCCGACCGGCCCTGGACTTGGGGGGGAGGGCAGCGTCGGTACGATTTTTTCGCCATCACCGTATGAGCGTATCAGGAGGAGGAGAAGGAGCTGGAGGAAACTGAAGACACTGTAGACCCAATACTCATCAACGATGTTGCAATGAACCCTTCATCCAATTCCATGTTCCAAATGTACCTATAAGGATTTATTTCCACTGCGGGAAGCACCCCGTTGGAAAACAACCGTCTAAACATCTTCAACCATGGCAAACCACCGTTCCTGCAATTTCCGCACCGCGATCCAACGTTAGTGTTGCGCCCTGACGATCCTGAATATTACCAGGACGCCGCTCTTGTGACGTCACCACCGCTGACCAACGTGACTGTCGCATCTTGGCAAGATTGTGTTTGATACGTCAAACATGGGAACCCTTGAAACTGTTGCTAACTGCTAAGACGAATTTGCGCGGCGCAAAGGCGACCGCCCTCCATCCGCGTGACTCTTGAAATGTATGGGGGCGATGGTGCGCGGCGCAGAAGCGAACCGTCTTTTGAAAACCGCCCGCCCTCCATCCGCGAAGCTCTTACAACGTTTCAAGACGAATTTACGCGGCGCTAAGGCGAGAGCCACATTTGGAATCAGCCCACCTTCCACCCGTGAAACTTTTGCAAGTTTGTAGGACGAATGCGCGCGGCTCGAAGATGAGAGCCACATGTCGGAATCCACCCGCCCTCACCCGCGAAGCTCTTGCAATCTGTTAGAACGAATGTGCGCGGTCCTACGGCTAGAGCTACATGTTAAAAACCGGCCGCTTCCCATCCGTGAAGCTCTTGCATTTTGATGGCGAAGGTGCGCGGCGCTAAGGCGAGAGCCACATGTTGAAAGCCGCCCGCCCTCCACCCGCGAAACTTCCGCAGACTGTTAAGACGAATGCGCGCGGCCCTACGGCGAGAGCCACATGTTGAAAACCGCCCGTTTTCCATTCGTGAAATTCTTGCTGCCTTTCAGGACGAAAGTGCGCGGCGCTGAGGCGAGAGCACCATGTTGAAAACCACCCGCCCTCCACCCGTGAAATTGCTGCAAGGTCTAAGCTTCAGGATCAGGAGTGGTGAGGAGGTCCCAGGCGGAACGCTCGGCCCGCCCTACCGACCCGTCTCGAGGAGCGGCAGGGAGGGGTTATCAAATTGCGTTCGGCCCATCCCGCCACCGTGCTTGGGTTGTGGGTATGAAGTTTATTGGATGTTCGCTGGGGTATCGTGGGGTAGCTCTCGGGGGGCCCCTTGGGGGCAGTTTGAGGGCCTCGTGGGGAGCAGCGTGGCTGCCTTTTTGTTGCCTTTTGAGTGCATGTTGTGGGCCATGTGGGGTCTTCTGGACGCCTCTTGGGGCCTCCTGGCGGCCTCCTTGGAGCCTCTTGGGGCGGAGTGCTCGGATGTTAGGTTCGTGCTCCCTCTCGCGGGCGGGCCCCTTTTGTGGGCCGTCTTTGGGCTTTCTTGGGCCGTCTTGGGCGCCTCTTGGTCCGTCCTGGGGAGCTCCTAGGCAGTCTTGGGGCCATTTTGGGGGCATCTTGGGCCGTTTTGGTGTTGTTTGGGGGGCCTCTTGGGCCAGGCCGTCTTGAGGCGTCGGAAATCCGAGAAGGCGAGAACGCCTAAACTTTTCAACAACCAGAAGAAAATCAATGGTATGTGCTTCTTGGGTGGCATCTTGGAGGCTTCTCGGGGCGTCCTACGGGCCTCTTGGGCCGTCTGGGTGCCATCTTGAGCCTCTTCGGGCGATCGGTCGGCGAGTCTGAGCCCTTTTAGGCCGTCTTGGGGTCCCCGTGGGCACGAAAAATTCGCGCGCCACCGTTCGGGGGAGCCCAGAGGGCACGTGTCAAGCCCCAGGACAGTTCGGAACTTGGTGTCGGAGGGAGGGCTGAGGCGTAGAGCATTGGGCCCAGGACCTGAGGACGCGCCCGCCCCGTGCCTAGCGGCACTGTGGCGGATCTCTAAGGAAGAGGGATGGGGGAGATGGGGGAGGGGGAGGAGGAGGACGACGAGGAGGAGGAGGAGGAGGAAGAAGAAGAAAAATGGCACGGGGAAGGATGAGGGGGATGAGAAGGGGGAGGATGAGGACGAGGACGAGGATGAGGACGATGAGGATGACGACGCGGACGGCAACGACAAGGAGGGAGAGAAGGAGGTGGAGGGAAAGGATGGGAAGATGAGGGAGAAGAAGATGGGAGAGAGAAGGAGGAGCAGGACGGGATGGACAGCGCCTTGAAAGGTAGGGAGGTGACAGCACCAGTGCGAGGGGGGTCGACCCGAGTTAAATCGCCCCTGAAGCGTCAGCGGTCCCGTCTTTGGCCATTATTCTGGCGAAGGATGAGGTGGCGCATCCGAGAACGCCTGAGGAACTGAGGCCACACTCACATCAGGCTTGGCCGAGTTCAACTCAACATCGATACGCTCGAGTGGCAACGCCTTATCAAACAACCCTCGCACTCGCAGATGGGGTCCGAGACAGCGGCGAAGCCTGCCAAGGACCACCGGTCCCCTACGCGTCGGCTGCTGGCAGACCTGAGCGAGCCTCTCGACTCTCCCTTGCTTCCACCCCCCACACCTCAGACACAGAATGTGTTGCCCGCGGCGCAGGTCTGGATGAGCCCTGGGACCCCGCGGCGTTGCCCGAGTCGCGCCCAGCGCGGCGACGAGAAGAGGGCCACGGGGCTCGCGCAGCAGCTTCTGGAGAGCAGGTGGCGGGCCGCGGCGCCCGTGCTTGGGCCTTGCCGGGTCGACCACAGGCCATCAGACGCGGGCGGCCTCGCGTTGCGAGTTCCGATCGTCGCCGCAGGTGCCAGGTTCGATTCTGTCGACTCGCGTGAGCTTCTTGGCTCGCTTGGCGGCGTTCGGAGTCGCACAACGGGAAGCGAAGCTAACCTACTCATCGCCGATCTACGAGGGCACGGGAAAACACGACAGCAAAAAAGTTCGAGGCTGTCGACTCCGGCATTTGGGAAAAGAAAGGGGCCTGCTTCCACCTGACCCAAGTACTGTACAAGGTAAGCATAGCCAACACAAGTTGTGCAAACGCAGTAGCTCGACTCTGGTACGGGTCCACGTTCTGTCAAAAAGATTGGTCGGGCCGCGGATGGCCATCAGGGGCCCGCTTGGCATGCACATTCGTAGCACGATCTGCAAATCCAAAACGCCGACCTTCTCCTTCCAGGCACTCAAGGACAACAAGGTCCCCATGGGCCTTCATGTGGAAGGTGGACAGAAACTTGGTACCAGCTAGATCCTGCGCAAAACGCCTGGCACCAGCAAATTTTCTCGTCATTGAGAGCTGCTTCCATTAGAAGCGCTGAGTCGGGCAAGCGACAGTTCTGCAGTCGAGAGCCAGGTCAGTAGGACGATGCGCTACGTGGCCACATAAAGCCGCCGCAGCATACTCAGCCATGGCAGGGGGCTGGGGCAAACCTCCTGGAATTATACCCCGCAAGGTTACTAAGAGAGCACCGGCGCCTTGCTTCAGCAAGGCGATGACCCACAAGGCACGGTGGATGCAGCGGAGTCATTGCTTGGTGCAGCTCCCGCCGGCCGCCATCTCGAGTTTCTCCACATATCCTTCCAGGGTCACTAGCCTCTCAGGTTGCAAACCCAGGACGGCTCCTGAACAAGCGAGTATAACGCAATGAGCATTGGTCGAGTGAAGGAGCACATCATCATCTTGAAACACAGAAACCACGAGTGAACACGGGGTCGTCGTTGTGCGCCCCCTCTATAATATCATCAGGACTTTCTACAGCACTCCGCGCCTCAACTGATTCAGCACGCGGGCAAGTGCACAAACGGTGGTGCAGAGTATCACGCTTACCACACCACTGGCAAATACCGTCCAGGCATCCCGCGTCACAAGCACGAGACTGAGTCACAATCGCATCGCACGCGCACGAGAGCAAAAGGAATTGCCGTTGACGGGTCTGCTGCTTGCCACGCGTGCGCATGCACCCACACACGAGGGCACAAGTAGCACGCGTGCCGACAGGTCGCCCAAGACGCACGGCTAGCTTAAACTCAGCCTCTCTCTGGAGCTCTTCACGCAAAAGGTCAAGGAGGAGGCGAGGTGGGGTCTTGCAAATACCATCAGCATTGCCCCAGTGGTCAATCCACCGACTACCCGCAACAATTGTCCAACCCGCACGTCGCGCCGCCAGAGCGGCTCTCGCAAGTGGGCCCCTGGTAGGCATCCAATCGCCCGCCTCACTCGCACGCGCCTGCCCCCACAATTCGCGCTCGAGTCGGCTTGACCACGGCATGCCACAGCGCACGACACTTGTTCAATGCAGGACCTGCAGCCGCACGAGTGTTCCATTCGTTTTACAAGACTTGTTCGGCAGTCGGACTAGTGCCAACATCAGTTTGCGGCAATCTCCTGGACCGGGTCTTTCGCCCAGT